AGAATGTTGAAAACTTCATTTTACTCTAAATTTTCTTCTTTTTGCTCCAAATGCCTAACATTAATATATCTGCAACAAAACATGAAAAATTCCCTTCTTTAGAGCACAATATCACTAAGTTTAAGCATAAAATGTATATATAAAATTGCACATTTTTTTGGTGTATCAGGATGCGAGTATGAATGGCGTCCATAAGCCGTAGGGGCCGAAGTCGGGAGCTACTTGAGCTATGAACCATGTAGGCCATTGGGGCGAGTATTATTAATGTTTGTAGGTTGTGGGAGTCAAATTCAGAAGCTGCACGAGACTGTTTGGACCTATATTAGTGACATCCGTAGGCCGCGGGGGCCGGAGTCAGGAGCTGCACCATCTGTGAATAATTGTAGGTCATAGAGGCGAGTATGAATGACGTCCGTAGGCCACAGGGATTAAAGTCGAGAGTTGCATGAGCTATGAACCACGTAGGCTGTTAGGGTGAGTATTAATGGCGTCCGTAGGCGATAGAGGCGGGAGTTGGGAGCTGCATGAATTGATGATCACATAAGTCGTTGTTGGCACTTGAACCATAGTGATGAGCTCTTGTCCCACATATGAGAAATGATTATTAGATTTTCAAAGTTATAACATTAACTAACGATGTTTGGTTGGTAGTGGTTGACGACGGTTGATCAACGGAGGTCGGCGGCTGTAGGCGGTGGTCGATGACGGTCGGCGGTGATGCTAAGCTGCAGGTCCTCCTCAAGACCTCAAGCTTTATCTCTTGCCTTCATCCCCCTTCATGTGAAGGGTGGGGGTCTATTTATAGTATTATGGGTGCAATTAATGCGGGAATATGAATCATTTTGATCGGACGATCTAGAGAGCTTTCCTCAATCAGACAATGTTTAATGGACATTTGGATGCCTTAATGATGTAGAAATTGGGTGATCTAGGGTTGGTTAGATTTTTCTTGTCGAGATGCTCGATCCGACCATAAATTTGCAAAATTCGACATTCGTTTGACCTTACAAATGTGTCCAGAAACTTCCAAGAATGGTTTAATGACTTGATTTCACTTTGATTGGACTGACTTTAATATCATTAGGTCCGTCTCATCGAGCCAATAAGTTTGACTTTAATTTTGTTGAAATCAGAGCTCCAGATGAATTTTTATCAAAATTTGAACATCCCTCGCTCAAAATATTATCTTGAAATTTGTGTCATGCTTCAAAATCTACGACGGATAATGAAAATTTGTTGGCAGCATATCGGTTGCCCCCAATTTTCGGGCGAGTTCAATTTTATCGTCCGAAAATATTGATATCTATAGATTTTTCATTTTTGAGAGACATTCATTTAAGTATATAAAGTACAGTTTATTCTCCAAAGGTTCATTTAAGTATATAAAGTACAGTTTATTCTCCAATGAAGAAATTTGGTGCTGCTTATTTGGTTGGCCTTTGCTGCTACAGGCCAATTGTCCCGGGTTCGAAACATGGAAGGCAAAGAAGTTTTTTTATGGGAATATGAAATGTCTCTGTTTTTATCATTATTATTATTTTCATTTTTTTTTATGGGAATATGAAATAACTTTTTTTTTAGCATTTAATGCTTGCACTTATTTTTGAATTTATAATATAATGAACATTTAATGGTGAAAGTCCTTTTTGAGCCTTTAAATAAGCCTAAAAGAGACGGTAGAGAGGGAAATGTGGGGTAGAGTCACGGCGATGTGTTGCAGCGGGGCGTCGCGACAACGCATGACTGTGCATCATCGAGGCTCAACGTTGCAGCGGGGCATCGCGGTGACGTGAAGAGTTGGGTCGGTGCATCACGACAGAGTGTCGGGTAGGATATTGCGGCGAGACGACGAGTTGCGACGGTGCATCGGAGCGAAGTGTCTCAACCGAGTGTCGCGGCGACGCGTTGCAGAGGGGCGTTGCGGCGATGCATCTGGGTGTGGCATCACAACGGAGTGTCGCAACGACGCATTGCGGTGAGGCGTTGCAGCGATGCGTTGAGTTCAAGATTATCATCCTAGACCATGATTTCCTAAGAAGAAAAAAGGTGTCCTACGTAGCGGTGAAGAGTTGTGGTGCAGAGTTGCGGTGAAGAGGAAAGTCGTCATCGCCCTACATAGCAGAAGAACAACTAAATCTTCTTTCTCGTTGCAGTGAAGAGGAAAGTCATTCTCGTCCTGCGTAGCAAGCAAGCAACGAAATCTTCATTCTTGTTTATGTCGCATATTTTGGAGGTGATGAAGAAATATTGTAGCTTTTCTGTTGCGCTTTGAGGGGAAGATATCTATGCTTATTTAGTGGCAATATATGGAGACCCATTGACTATCATCAAAAGTACTGGAATTTTGTGAAGGTGATGACAACTCTACTTGAAGATGAGCAGATTTATTGGTAACTCTTGTACAAGTATATGTTGGTCTTGTAGCATTTTGATCATCTGATATGACATTTGTAGATGATAATAATATATTTCTTTATTTCTTCCACGGTTGTTGTGACTTCTTAATTGTGCAAAATTCTTAAATTAGTTTGCACACAAATTTTTACAAAGTAAAGAATCACATACATTTTGTGGTTCATGCCTTACTAGGTTGTGCCCTCTCAGACCTGTGTCTTATAAGAGCTTGAAACAATACCTTATAAGGCTCGTAGCCTTCTGAGGTTTTTCAGTGAATATCCTCTCGGGCTCATCTTCCAGCAACATGATAGCTTCTTTTTGGGTTTTGTCTTCTGGGCTTGACTTATAGAGGCATGGTTGAAAGGATAATCTATTGAGGATGTAAGACCGGTTCTTATTGAGAAGTACATCGAACCTAGACATTTGGTGACGCATATTATTTAATGAGTCAAGTCTTACGGATCTAATCATTATTTGTTTTTTAATTATAAACTAAATCTATTAAACTTATTTATTTCACAAAGGAAGAAAGGGGAAAATGGAAAAAACAAAGAAGTTGGGTGGCGTGCCTCGCCAATATACTGCTCCTAGTGCGGCTACAAGAGCTATTTAACTTTTTGCAATGTGGATGTAAAGTAGATAACATTACGAAACTTTAAATTGTGTTGTAAGGTAGTGACATTTCATTGAAAAAATATAACAACAACGACAAAATAAAAAAAATAAAAAATAAAGAAGAAAATCCTACAATTAAACTTATGGCCAATATTATCTTGCATAATGCATATTTCTACTGCTTGACCAGGCCTTCAAAGTTCTCTTAAGAATTTTACCCATCAAGAAAATATGTGGAGGACAAAAGGGACCTCCAATTCATTGAAAAACAAGGCTTTAGTAGTTGTTTTATACATTTATTAGGCTTTGACAATGATTTTAAGTGTTACAATAAAGTTTGCAATATATATATATATATATATATATACACATTAAAATGAGTAATATGATCACAATGCAAGTATTATAATGTCGATAATAGCAGTAGTGATATTGCTTCGAGAATTTTATCAAATAAATTTTTTGATTAAATCATAGCACAAAGATTATTAATATATTATCTAAAATTAAATAATGTATAAAAATGTGTATTTCACTTGAAAAAATTAATTTTTTTTTTAAACTTTTGAGTATTATATAAGTAGCTATTAAAATTTACGTGCAAAATTTAAATACATAAAATTATTTATGTAAATCACCCATAAATAGTTGTGAGGATTTTCTTAATCACCATTTTTTTTTGTCTAATAATGATAACTTTTTTTGGGATAATTACATATAGAGTACTTAAAACATTGCTATTTATAAATTAAGATTCCAGAGATTTATTTTAACCATGAAACTTGAAACTGCATGATCAATTCATTATGAATTTAATAAAAATGAAAGATATGAGTTTGGGTTTTATCATGACCTTTGATATTTGAGTGAGAATTTAAAAAATAGGTGAAAAAGAGTACTTAATTTGTAAATAATAATACTTTTGGTGCCCTTTATGTAAATTTTTTCAATTATAGGTGTTAGAGCCATCTTAAATTTTGCACACCATGGCTTGAGAAATGTTTGCATACGTAAGACGTACGCAGAGTTGCGTATATATTAGTTTATTATGAGAGCACAAATAAATTACACTTAGATTATACTTTTTGTAATTCTTCCTGTAACTAAGGGTCCGTTTGGGGTAGCTTATTTGGTACAGTGACATTTTGAAAACGCACCTGAGTTGTTTGGTTAAACTGCATTTTGGAAGCTTATGCATTTTCAAAACGTTGAAATCAACGTTTTTACATCGCACTTGTCTAGGTGCGGCGACAACTTTCTGACTGCGGTCTGATTTTTCCAAAAAATTAAAAATTTATAATAACTATCGCACTTAACTTACCGACAGATTATTTTTAATGTAGATAAATCGCAGCCCACAAACAGAAAGTGTAACCTATCAATATACTCAATGTGCGCGTTTTACATAAGCAAATATTTCTTCGGTTGAGCATTTATTTTGCACGCCATGGCTCACGTTATAAAACCAAAGAGGCCCTCCCGCATCGGATTTCTTCAGCTCAGGATTTATTTTTTCTTGCTCGCAGTTCTCACGCAGAAGCCATTACTCCAATCCAATGTCTGAAATTCCTTCGAAGATGAAGGCATGGATCTATGAAGAGTACGGGGATGTGAAGGTCTTGAAGTTAGATGACGGGGTTTCTGTGCCGGAGATAAAAGATGACCAAGTGCTTGTGAAGGTTGTTGCTGCGGCACTAAACCCTGTGGATTTTAAGAGGAGACTAGGGAAGTTTAAGGCCACTGATTCTCCGTTACCTGTAAGTTCATCACATTTGTGCTCTCTCGTGCGGCGACAACTTTCTGACTGCGGTCTGATTTTTCCAAAAAATTAAAAATTTATAATAACTATCGCACTTAACTTACCGACAGATTATTTTTAATGTAGATAAATCGCAGCCCACAAACAGAAAGTGTAACCTATCCATATACTCAATGTGCGCGTTTTACATAAGCAAATATTTCTTCGGTTGAGCATTTATTTTGCACGCCATGGCTCACGTTATAAAACCAAAGAGGCCCTCCCGCATCGGATTTCTTCAGCTCAGGATTTATTTTTTCTTGCTCGCAGTTCTCACGCAGAAGCCATTACTCCAATCCAATGTCTGAAATTCCTTCGAAGATGAAGGCATGGATCTATGAAGAGTACGGGGATGTGAAGGTCTTGAAGTTAGATGACGGGGTTTCTGTGCCGGAGATAAAAGATGACCAAGTGCTTGTGAAGGTTGTTGCTGCGGCACTAAACCCTGTGGATTTTAAGAGGAGACTAGGGAAGTTTAAGGCCACTGATTCTCCGTTACCTGTAAGTTCATCACATTTGTGCTCTCTCTCTCTCTCTCTCTACCCGCGTGTGCTTTTTTTTTTTCGGTGTGTTATCTTGTTATTCTTTCAACTTTAATTCATATATATATTTTTTGAAACATGTATATATTGCATAGTTTTGTAGGAGAAGGCTGGTTTGAGGAGAAATCTATTGATAGCAACTTTTATGAGTTCTTTTGGTTCAGAATCATATACAGGAATCGGCTTCTGAACTATTACCCGTTATTGTTGAAGCCATTATCTTCTCCCTTTTTATGATTTTGGTCATTCCTTTGGGGGGTAGAAGGACAATGATTTTAACTTCATCAAATATAAATTGGGCACTTCAAACGCATAATATTATTTTCCGTTCATGAGTTTAACTGGATTGTTTTTTTATTTTCCAGCTTCAATGGGTGGTTGCTGTGAAGTAATAGGTTTAAGGGAAATCTGTGATGGTTTTTGTTGAGAAAATTAGGGCGAAGAAAATCAGGAATCGACACAAATCCAGAAGAACATAGAGATTTAACGAGGTTCGGCAAAGATGCCTACGTCCTCGGGAGCAGAGCGGCGAGTTCCTTTCACTATTCAGAAAAGAGTTTACAGAAACCAGGGATTACCTCCTGGGGTTACTAACAGGTCTATTTATAACCCCAGGAGTAAACCTAGGCACAATATGTAATTACAACATTACCCCTGTACCATACCGCGGGGCTTTGCCCCCGCACCTCAACCCACGTAACTTCCCAATTTGGACAGATTCTTTCGCTCCGCTCTGCTCCGCTTCGATCCAGCGTCTGTCCCGATATGGTATATGAGTCATACCATAACATT